GAAATAAGTTATCACAGCCATGTGCACAAATACTTTAAAAAGCAGTTAACCAGTTGGGCTTGTAACGTCAGTTAGGGAGTGTTTATGGGCTAACTGGTCCATTGAACATATGTGTGTATATATATATATATATACACACACACAACTGCAGCACCATGCTGCTGGTGCTGGCCAACACCATTCCCTATAGCGTGGAGCAGGTGAAGAACAGCACCACGGGTATTTTCTTGTCTTTAAATTCTCCCATTTTCAGAGTCATTACCTGCTTAAACAGGGTCTTTTAGAGCATCCCTCACTGTTTTAAAGTATCCTCCTAGAGGCCAATGCTTCCTTTTAAAGTTTCTGGGTGACATTTCCCCCCCAGGTGAAAGAGGGGGGCCCTTCTCAGGCTCCAACCCCATGGGTGTAGGAAGCCCTGTCCCCCCCACCTCCCCAGCCAGGCTGAGCAAAGCCCCCGCAGCCGGGGCCAGGCTGGTTTCCATCCCGGGTGCTGGGACAAGGTGTGGGACTTCTGGGTGTTTATCTGGGGTCGGGCGATCGCAGCCCCACAGCTGGTTTAACCCCCGTCCCCTGCCCTGCTGCCAGCCCGGCCGGAGCTGATAGCTCACCCACCCACCCCTTTATCTCTCCCTCCCACCCCCCGGCCATCTCCCCTCCCTCCTTCCATTGCCAGGTCAACTCTCCTTCCACATCACCCTTCTGCTTTTTGTCTTTCTGCAATTAAAATGCTCCTTCCTGGCCACGCGGCCTTTGCCACCAGCAAAGGGAAGAATACCCTCAAGGTGAAGGTTTCAAACCATTCCCTGCACACACATATATATATATTTAATATATATATGTGCCTACCGGTACCTATATCAGCCTACCAATATCTGAAGGGAGCCCACAGGAGAGCCGGAGAGGGACTCTTTGTCAGGAAGTGTAATGACAGGACAAGGGGTAATGGTTTTAAATTGGAAGAGGGAAGATTTGGATTAGATGCTAAAGAGAAATTCTTTCCTGTGGGGGTGGTGAGACACTGGAACAGGTTGCCCAGAGAAGTTGTGGATGCCCCATCCCTGGTGGCGATCAAGGCCAGGCTGGATGGGGCTTTGAGCAACCTGCTCTGGTGGGAGGTGTCCCTGCTCATGGCAGGGGGGTTGGAACTCCATGATCTCTAAGGTCCCTTCCAACTCTAACCATTCTATGATTCTATATAGCTCCACAGTCTATAGAAAAGGCTTTGAGGGTGCCGATGCCACCTACTCTGCACAGGGGTAGCCAATGTGTGTGACTCCTGATGGATCCCAGTGATGGAGAGACCCTGTGAACTGCTGTGCAGGGACAGGCTCTGGGGACGTGTCCCCAGCTGAGTAGCTGGTGGCCGTGTGTTGGCATTGCTGGAATGAGCATCCTCCTTCCAGCACCTTCCTCTCTGCAGCATCTGGATTTGGTTGCTGCTCAGCCACCAAGATGCAAAGGTCACAGAAGGTAGCCAGCATCATCTGCCCTTTTTATTTTAATTGTTTAAAGGAAAGTTTTGCAAACCCTTCCCAATATTATCTTCTGATGGAAAACATTCATTTCCCATCAAATGGTAATTTTTTTTTTTTGCAATCATGTTGTGTACGATGATGGTGATGAGCACTACTCTGTGGATTCAAATATATGGGGAAATAACCCCATCCAAACCTATTTTCTTCTCTGTTTATACAAAACCTGTCATGCCAGCGCTGATGGCATCACAAGGTGATGGGGCCTTTGGTCTGTCTCCTCCTAATGGGAAATTTTCTAGTCAATAAGCTTTTCTTACAAACTAGAAGTAGGTGCATCTGAAGGGATTTTTCCACCCATGTTTCTAATGTGTCCCAGGAACCTGGTGACACCGGGGCCCCTGGTGGCAGAAAATCCCCCCTAACATCGATGATACTGGGGAGTGAGAATGAAGGGGGAGTGGTATTGAGATAGAATTAAAAAAAAAACCAAAAACATAAAAAAAGAGAAGGTGGGAGGGATGTGTGTGTCTGAGACAATAAAACAAGAAATGCAAAAAACCCCAAAATCACCCCAAATTTGGGCAGCTTTTATTTTCAAGCCTCGTTATCAGGTTTTAATTACAGCCTTTCTGGCAATGCCATGTTGAGGGCAGGCTGCACTGACACCCCTCCCTGGGAACCCCACCGAAGCCAAGAGCAAGGACCTGCTTCATTAAGGGCATTCCCACATTATTGCATTAAATAAGCTCACAGAAACGACACGACCCCAACGTTCCCACCCCGGCAGGCGATGAGAAAGCTTCTCCTCCTCGCTGGTACAGGCCAGTGACAACAGGAGGGAGTAATTTATGACTCCCTGGGACTGCTTGATACGCTCCTCAGCCTCAGGCTCATCCCTGACGTTCCCACTGCCACACAAAGGCTGCAGCCAGCCAGGGGTGCCCAGGGGACACCATGCTGTCACACGCAGCAGGGAGATGAGCAGTCAGAGAGATCCCTTTTCTCCTCCCAGCCCTTTTCTCCCTCTCTGGTCTCCTCCTGCCTCTCCCTTTCACCTTATTTCTTGCTCCCTGGTGGGTTTTTTTTTGGTTTGCCTTTTTTTTTTCAGTTTCCATCCAAAAATTGGTGCTGGGGGAGCTGGGAGAGATCCATGGCTCAGCAGGGCTGGAGGTGGATGGGAGAAGATGAAGATGCTCCAAGACCCCAGGGGTGTAGGTCGGGGGGGGACACACACGCCACTGATGGAGATGCAGGAAACCTTCCATGGCGGGGTGGTGGGAGGGGAGGTGTCCAACAGGCACTTCTAAACTTGTCCCCCTTGGTAGACATTCCTTTTCCCCTCCTCTCAGAGCTATTCTCAGCCGCCCTGGTGACCTTTCCGGGGAACAATTTACTATTGTGTTTTGGTGAAGCCCGGCCTCTATTTTTACACTCCGTTTTGCTGATGTGGGCGCAGGGAGCGGGACGGGAATCCAGCAGGAAATGGGAGGGAGCGTCTGGAGCACGGTCAGAGCTGCCCCAGAGCTTTGATGTGCCGCCGGCAGCACGTGGTGGGGCTGGGGGCTTCGCTCCTTGGCCATCCCCACGGTGAAGCCCACACCCCACCAGCTTAACCTGGCCATGCCTAGGTGGGAATGGGTCCTGCACCAAAGGGCTCGTGGAGAAGAGACCAGCAAAGCCTCTCCTTGGTGCAAAATGAAAGACAGCTTTCTGCTGGCATCGTGCTGTTCTAGAGATGCTGGAAACAAGGGGAGGAGATGACCCGCTGACCAGGCTGGGAGAGGTCTGGGTACTTGCCCACGGGGTGTCTGGAAAGCGGCAGAGCATCCTGGTTGGCAACATGCAGAATGAGCAGGTTGACAACTGCAAAGGAGGTAGGTCTTTGTGTGAGGTGCTGTTGAGCCGTGGTCCTCCCTGATGTGGGACCCTCAGCTGGGCTTGAGGGGAGTGAGTGGCTCCAAAAATGCCAAGCAGCACAGCCTACAGTGGCTAGAAAAGCACGGGTACCCACTTGCCCTGTTCACCCTGTGTGTGTGGCAGGGAACACCAAACCAACCAAGTTTGGAAGTGGTTGGACCAAGCCCTGGGAAAGAGAACGGTGCCAGCCTTGCCCTGTGACTGTCCTGCTTCCACCACCATCACCATCCTCAGCACAGCTCCCTGGCAGGAACAGCACCCTGCTGCCCCGGGGCTTGCCCAGAGCCCCACCAAAACCAGATGCAAGGTCTTCCTGTGTGTCCAAAGGGTCCAGCCATGGCCTCACACGCCGCCCATCCAAGGCTGCCTGGGAGGGTATGTGAGCAAGGGGACACTTTACAACAGCTGTCCCATCTCCAGAGCACTTCACTTGTGCCCCACCAGCGATACGTCCCTTCACACGCTGCTGGAACTGAAATAAAACACATCAACACCCTCCCAGTGGCTGCAGCTCCACTGTGGGGCATCACAGGAGGTGTGTCAGCCATCACACATCAGCACAGACACTTCTGTGCACAAGGAGTCACACCAACAGTCACACCCCACGTGTACCTGTCCATGCAGGAGCTCACACACATGAGAAGTAAGTGCACACACTGATTTGCTCCCAAACACCCAGCCCATGTGCTCTTACGTGTACGGTCGCACGCGTGTGATGGTGCACAAACACAGTCACAAGCACACGCACTCCTTCTTGCACACCTGTGGGCACGTCTGTGGCTGCACCTCTGAGGGCGCAGTCCCAAACACGTGTATTTGGGTGGCTCTGCGTGTGTCTTCCAGCCACCCAAGCCCGTGATGGCTCACACACGTGAGTCCCTGCCCCTTGCACTCTGCCCCGCTGGTTGTCACCACCGTATAAAACACCACCAGGGTGGTTTTGCTTTTGGTTGCATCAGCAGCAACCACTCCCAGGCTGCTCCCCGCCTTCTCCTGGCCAACTCTGAGCTGCTTTCACAGAATCACAGAATCTTCTAGGTTGGAAGGGACCGTAAAGATCAT